TTACTTGCTAGGGGATTTCCGTGACTCAGTCGTGTTGAGTTATTTGGCGTGGAATCAGCCTGTAACAAAGCCGGCCAGCATTGTTTTTCAAGTCCTTGAAAATCTCAAATCAGTTTTATGCTCTAGTTGACATTTTAATTTACACTTGCTTATTTCAGGACTTTCGAGACAACAATGTGCAGCCAATTATGGTAGAAAACTGCGACGTTTACTTTTATCGTGATGTGATCCCTGACTGGTCGCAGAACAGACAGTCGATCAGTGAGCTATTCGTCGGGTTTCTCAACTATTACGCTCAGTTCGACTTCGGGACGCAGGTTTGCACTTCTTTGGGTGTTTGGAGAACTGAGGCCTCAGCTATTATAGTCGGGAATTTCAACTACTGTTCTCTCCAGTTTAATTGGTTTGATAACCTTTTATCACTGGGAAGTGGAAATTGCAACATTACTTTCTCAATGAAATTAGACGTAAACATCACTCATTCATGAGATAATGACGTCAACCAACGTTTACCAAACACATCTTTGGGAATGCGATACTAATTTAAAGTATAAATTAGAATTTCTTTTCGCCGGGAGCATGAAATGATCGATAAAAAAATTCGGTAGCTGTGCGACGTACGAGAGAAACTGTCAGGTTAATTTGAATTTTCGAACCTCAATTAACTTCGTATTCTTGAACGAATTAGTTGGCGGAGAGTGCTCACAGGCTCCATATAATTATTTCCAACCTTCGACGTGCCCGAGTTCAATTATAATTCTTATCAGTGTTCTCAGCGCTTGTACAAATCCTTTTTGTTGGAGTAACGGCGACTTCAGATGTCTCTCTTGAGTTTCTCAGATTTCAAAGTTAGACTAGTATTGATGTGTGGAAAACTTTGAAATAGCTGTTTCAGTTGATATTTTTCCTCCCATCTCCAAAAATTGGCAGACATTCTGGAAGATAGGTTGATGGTAGAAAAACGGGGTAGAAGTAGCAGCAGCTGCGATCATCAAAGGAAAAACAGTAGTGACCAAGGAGGGGGAAGATCATATGAAAATTCAACATTTTTCTATCGTAGTAGCTGACGCTAGTGACGGTGTCTCCTTCTGTCTCTTCACAGTCTTTTTTTTCTCCATTCCCATTACAAAGCTTTCAAGCTCATTGGAATTCCATTTTATCGAGCACCTTGATGTAAGTATAAGGACTTGTTGCCCACTCTTTCCTCCCAATCTATTTATTTATTTATGTATTTATTTATTTACGACTGTTGTTACAGAACTGAACCATACAAGTAATGCGAATAAAAGGAACATTTCAAATCAGGGAATGAGATAGCTTTTGTCTTTTTTCTCCAGCGTCATGTCCTCCATCTTCCTGGTGTCATTAAATACCGCACGCAATAAGGAATAGGGAGGACTGCGTTAGTCACACCCGCTTGTCATCATTGTCGCCATTACCTTCATTGCTAGTACCACCTACTTCAGCTCATTGTCGCTTTTGTTGCCTACTACTACTTGTTTTTGCGTACTACCTTGTTAAAGAGTACGCAAGGGCGAATTCAATATTGGCGCTATTCTTATGAAGTTCGTAGTCTGTTGGAGAGTTAGGCAAGAAGAAATGGATCTTACATGTGCTGCTGGCTGGGGAGCAGCTTATCATCGTGAGCTGTGGTTTACTCTTGCCTGCTTTGTTCGCTTACTTCAAGTTTACTCTTCCTAACTCCTCTTTTCCCCAGTAATATTCAACAACCTTGATCTAGTAGTTTGAAAAGTTGTGGGCTTGTTGAGTTGTTTTATTGGAGCTGAGGAGATCCTCCGCGAGAGCTTCTATGGTGTAATAGCTATCGCATCCACTCGGAAAGTGTTCGGCTACGAAACTGGGTTATACGTCGATGTCGGGTCCTTCTTATGAACCAGCAATTTATTAAAATGTTTATGCTGTTTCTTTTTCCCAATAACGTTTCTTTTCCTTTCCGGAAATTTTACACAGTGATGATTCGGCTAGTTGCCACTTTGCGACATAAGAAACCAATTTCTCTGCTTCATTCAGAAAAAAAGCCTGAAATTACGTGATTTGTATATTCTTCACAATTCCTGCTTCGAAATCGATATCATTCAGAGGGAAGCTTGTCAATATGTAGAAGTTTTGATTAGATTTCATCAGGGCTAGTGATTTTTATACGCAAAATTACACGTCATGACCCGAAGGTTAAAGGTTGAGGAGAAGTATTCTTGCCTCTTTGTCTTCATAGTGCGCCCTTTATCAATTTTTAGTTCGTCAATCTTATAGGTTGTTCAAATTCGTCGCAAGAAACCTTTGTTGAAAATGGAAAAGGATTGGAATCGTCCGTTGTGCATAGAAGATCCATTCGATCTACACCATAACTTGGGTTCAGGTGTCTCGAGGAAAAGTGAGTTTTTTCTATCATCCTGTAGCGTTAGCATGTTTGAGTCTCCATCGCTGCCATAATTATCGTTGAAAATATCTAGAATAATTTTAAAGTGATTATTTCCAGGCCCAAAAAATTCGAAGATAGGAAACTTACATTTTTTTTTGATTTAGCACTGGCCGAGTTTTTGAAGACTACTGGGTCAATAGATAGTTAATCTAGCATTTGTCTTGAAAAATTTTACGGCAGTTTAGTTGAGCTAGGCAAAAGCCAGATACTGACCATTGATCTGTTTCGTAAACTGTGTTTCGCTCAAAGTGAGAATAATGGAACATAATGCTTTCACAACTAGCAGCCGCTTGGTAGTCCTGGATTAGTCTGGGAGGATGAAACACTGATTTGAACAGCGGCCAAAGAAACCCTCATAGTAGTTTAGAAACGTGAAACTAAGCGCTAATATTTGTTTGCTTTTCCTGGATCGTAGAGGGAACATATTTTTATCACAAAAATGCCGAGTTGTGAGCAAAACTTTCGCCCCGGCCAGGATTCGATTCCGGATCTCTTGCTTTCCTGGCAATTGTACAACCGAGTTACAGTTACACCACAGGGGCACCGTTTACCCCAACTCAGCATGGTTGTTGGAACATATTGTGTGTATCGCCTTTACTATGAAGTTCAAGTTGGGTCGATGAGTAGAAAATCAATGGATGTTATAGTCAATGTCTTTTTTCTCTCCAAAAACAGCCATTTAGTTATTAAAGAATTTGATTACAAAGATAAAGATAAAGATAAAGAATTGAAATTTCGTACATACAGAGTTATTATTTAGTGTTTGTATTCATCGTTCGCAACATTCACAAGTCTCGTAAGCTGTTCATGTTGTCGGATGTTCGGTCAAAGTTCCTCGAAGGAAAGAAACACACAGTTGACCAGGGAAACACACAGTTGACCAGGAAATGCCCCTCATGTTCTGTGATGCCTACGCGGTAAGTTATCTGATCAAGGAGTCTACATTTATACAATCTAGGGCATTTCTTCTTTTCTTTTTTTGACCCCCCCCCCGCCTTCATTTTCTTTTCTTCTCAGAAGTCTTTTTTCTATGTTCAAATCAGTTCGGAAAGCACTGGGGGAAGCCTTTTTTCTATTTCAAATTAGTTCGGAAAGCACTGGGAGAATTTTTTTGCTTTGTTAATCGAGGTTTCGCTTCTAGGTGGTATTAAATTAACTGGGAGAATTCGGAAAATAAATAAAAACCGCCTTTAGAAAAAGCTTACAGCGTACTAGCGGTGTCGGAAAAATTTTAGTGGCCTAATTTTCTGCTTTCGATGATAGTAGGCGTAGCCCCGCAGCCGCTGGATAGGAATTGCCGAGAACTCGTTAAAGACAGGTTTTCGGAAGCCATCACTGAAAGGATGGGTCATGGGTCAAAATGGTGTTCATTTGCTCATGTCAGGCTAGTGTTTGCACCTGTTAATGTGGGTAATTACAGGCGACTCTATTAAGAGAGTGTCAGATGGGTGCAGCACCGACCGATCGTCAATGCCGCATATGCCATCGTATTGGGCACTTTGCAGAATCGTGTCAGAAGTAAGTTCTTTTCAACCTTCGACAGTTTGTCTTCTCCAAAAGAGAGCTGGAACAACAGGTCTAAGGTGTTCTGATTCTGCTGAACGTAGCGAAAGCCATGTAGCAAAAAAGGAAATTTCGCTAATTTCGGCATTACCCCGGTCACCTCTCTTAGCTGCAGCTACACCAGTCTCGCAACTTCAAGCCACGGTTCGGGAGGTCGACGGACTACTTGGACTAGGTCCTTGAGGGTGCCCCTGTTCGATGCTCTCCTCTGCATTCTCTTGCCTTATCAGCGGCTCATGACCATTGTGATCTCACGCATTCAAGCTTTACCACATTGTAGTTGGCTTACCCACTTACCTTTCTCCTTGGGATTCGGAGCCGCGCCAGGCGCCGTTCTCTGATCGTCTGTTCTCCACCAGTCGTGGCAGGACCATAGAAGAAAGTTCAAGTAGTCCGTAAACCCCCCCCCTTCACCGCTCGATGGCAACTGTAAAATCAGCTAGCTGCCTTGTAGTACGAGGTCAATGACAAATTTTCGTCCGCAGATGGAAGGTTGTGGGAGAAGGGAGACAGGGTCATTTATGGAGTTTGGGATGTGGGCCACATTTATGGCCAAGATTTTCTCATCATGAATCGTTCTGAAAGTAAAGATGGTGAAAAATTGTACTGTTGTTACTGGTAGCTATTACGTAAACTGTAAAAGGGCTGTGAAAATTTGCCTTGGGCTATTTTATTAGTAGATTGTTCCTAAATAATTAACATGTTTGTGATGATACTGAAAAGGGATGACAGAAAAAATATGCCGAATCACGTTTGAGTGACTAATGTTTGGTTCAAGGAATGGCAACGGTCAGCGAACACTTCGGCGTAGTGAGCTGTGGACGAAGAGGAAGCCGGTGAGTGAAGATTTTTGATGTTGCCTGCACTCATCGATGCCCATTAACTCTGGGAACATGTAATGACCCTGAGGATAGCATAGCGCGTACAGGGACAGAGAAGAGCTGAAATCAACTGTGTGTGTGTGCGGTCGCAACACCTACCCATGGAAGGGTTGCCGG